CAAAAAAAAAAAAAGTCTCAGACTTTGCTGCCCAGGCTGGCTTTGAACTGTGATCCTCAGATATCAGCCTCAGAAGCAGCTGGGATTACAGGCCTAAGTCATAGTGCCTGGCTTCATTTAGCATTCTTTTCATGAAATTGTTTTATTTAAAAAGATGTTCACTTAAGGCCTGTGTGCTGCTATCAGTGAACTTGATAAAGGCAAGTTAACAGGCTCAGTTTAAACCTACCTACCTTCAGTCTGTTTTCAGGTTGACGTGATAAATATACAACACTGGAAGATGAAAATAAGGGGATGTTGACAGTGGGTTCTGGGTGTTTAGACATTGCATTATACTTATTCACTTCATGAAACCTAGTCTCTCTTAATGTAAATATGGCCCAGCCAGAGAATGCTTTTAAAAGAAATGTTAATCTAATTGAGATTTCATGTCTGAGATGTACTTTATTCAGTTAAAAAGTTGTACACTAGTTCTAAGAAACCAGGAATAAGGTCATAGTCCTACTTGTAAGTATGTGCTTTATCAAATATAGGATATTTAGGAAACAGCTAAATTGGGAAGAGGTAAAACTGCAGGGTTTGCAAAATTTTAAAATTACACTGTTAAAAAATGTCCATTCAGGTACTTTAAAACATTGGTTTGGGCTGGGAAGGTGGCTCAGTGGTAGAGCGCTTGCCTTGCATGCTCAAGGCCCTGGGTTCGATTCCTCAGCACCACATAAGCAAAAAGAAAAAAGCCGGAAGTGACGCTGTGGCTCAAGTGGTAGAGCGCTAGCCTTGAGCTGAAGAGCTGAGGGACAGCGCCCAGGCCCAGAATTCAGGTCCCACAACCGGACCCAAAAAAAAAATAAATAAATAAAACATTGGTTTGTTGCATGTGAGGAATGACTTAAATGCAGAAACTAACTTGTGAAGACTCAAGTATGATTACAATGCCAGTTAGTGCCTTTTTTCTTTCATGTAGTACATATTTTTGATTTGGAAACGAAAACCGGAAATATCTGAAATCTGGACACTACATAAAAGATTCATGTTTTTCTCCAGAAGGACTATTTCCTTAAATGCATTCTCACTCAGGCAAAGAGCTTTCTGCAGTGTGTGTGTGATAGGGCTTACTCTCCCTGCCTAGCATTAGTGCCTGGGACACGTTTTTTTTCCAGGCAGTTCTAGGGTTTTAACTCAGGGCCTACGTGCTGTCTCTGAGTCTTTTTTGATCAAGGCTATCACTCTACACTTAAGCCATAGGTCTATTTCCAGTGAATCGGAAATAGTGTCAGACTGTACTGCTTGGGCTGGCTTTGAACTGTGATCCTCAGATCTCAGCCTCCTGAGTATGGCTAGATTACAGGCCTGAGTAAGCCACCAGTGCCTGTTTATAGGCATTTTTATGTAACTTTTTCTGTAATGTTCAAATGCAAGCTCAATTTGATTTTGCTTGATTTCTTACACATACTTTCCTTCTTAAAGATTCTAAGCAAGAGACAATCTATAACGTGTGGCAGAAAGTTCACTAGGCCTTGCCTCGCAGTTAATATGGAGGGCAACATGGGTTATGGGTTATGTTTGAACTCATTTTATGTAAAACAAGAAAAAGCTTCCAGGCTGCAAATATTGACCTTAATCTCATTTTATCCTTTTGAAAATTTAATGGGATTATTAAAAACAAGAAATACTCCTACCTTTCTAAATAAGTAATGCCCAGGGAGCCAGATAATTTACAGTACAATGTGTAACGTTGGGAATCCAATTATTCCCCCAGCAAAACCTATTTACAAGTTGGACAATATTACCACAAGACTAATGGAAAAAAGAAAACCTTTAGCTCTTTAGTTAATCCTACAACCATTAACCTTATGATCAAAATGCTAAGAATTACAAATCAAAGCGTTCCAGAATAAATTATGTATTGCCATCAAATTAAAGCCTAATTTAGACTCCAATACACTATTAACTTAAATGTTGACAGTGACCCAGCTTTCCACCTTAGTGCAGTGTAGGAAGAATAGCACACATTAAGTTTGTTACGAAAATAGAGTTTATTAAAAACATCCCTATTGTTTTGAGGAGCTTTCACCGTTACCTTGTCTTAAATTAAAAAAAAAAATAGAGAGCACTTCTAATTAGGATTTGTAAACTTTTTAAAGTCAAAACTTTTAAAAAGTTACAGCAAAAGGGTAATATTCATATTTTCAGTATTTTTTTTGTTATTTTGTAGCTATTTTTAAATAGAAGGGAAGCAATCAAATTGCTTACAATTCCCCACAAACTACCTGCGGGGCTGTGATATAGCAGGAGCAAATATAATACAGCATCTGTACACCTCAAGCTCTACACTCTGGAAGTGTCACTGTCACATTTTGTCATATTCCAGGCTCTAGCGAGTTGTCTCTGTTGCTGAGCTAGAATCTTTTTCAGGT